TGGCCTCTATGAAGGACTGGACTGGCTGTCCAATCAGCTCCGAAACCAGAAATGAAGCCCTGAGTTACTCCTCTTTTCTCCGTCCCCTCCCCCTTCCCCCTCTCCCCCCTCCTCCTCCTCCTCCTCCTCCTCCTCGCTTTACTCTAATGTGGCAAACCGTGCTACTCTGTAGTACCGAGTGCCAGAAACTGTTTTCATCATCTCTTCTCGTCCACAGGATTGTCCTTCACCACCACCACCACCACCACCACGCTTTACATGTGGCAAAACCATGCCCGGAAAGAAAAAGAAAATAACAGTTTTAGCTTTTTATTTTCTTATTTAATGTAAATAGTTCTTGTTTTCCCCCACGTGGCGGTTTCTGGTATTCCTATGCAATATTATTCGGCTCTTTTTAAAATGATAAAAAGGTTTTAAAAAAAACAAACACACGGCCCACCCAAAAACTTTTTGAGTGGATTCGGGAAGGGGGGGAAAAAATGGTTGCCAGGAATCTGGTTTTGTTTGTGCCGTGTGTGCGTGTGTGGGCTAGATCCAAACGAGATCCCTCTCGGCTGGCAGATCTGGGCTTGAGGCCTGGTTTCCGCAGCCCTGTTTTAAAGCCTGGGGACGGAGTGTTCTTTTCAAGAAGACGGGGCTGGTGGGGAACGAGGGCGGGAAGACTTGAACCTGGGACCCTTTGCGATTTCTGCAGCGACGTGAAGAGAACACCCCGCAAGTTTCGCTTGTTGCCGGTCATAAAATTAGCCGCGCTTGGTATTTTTTGTGATGGGAGGCGGATGGGAGAGCGAAGTCATTGGAGATTGCAGATTTAATGAGAAATTGGGACAACCCCCCCCCCTTCCCTCCCATGCCCTTGTACTCTTTTAACTGCCCCTTTGATTTGGAGTTTTTAAAACAAATATTTTTCACCCTCCAACCTACGAGTGCCATCTTCATCTTCCTCTCTTGTCGCTGGGGAGCCTAGCTCCTTCAAAAAGAAAAAAATAATAATAAATCCTTGAATTTCTGCAGCCTAGAATGATTTCCAAAGACGGTCCTCTTGCACGGACGTCACAACAGCAGCCACAAGTACTGTACTTAAATAAAAAAGAAATGTCACACAGGCTTTCCGTTGCTTCATCCGGGAAAGGGAGAGGGGGGGGGGTTTGGGAAAATAGAAAACGCGGGAGTTTGGTAATCGGACGCCTTCCATTCTTAAGAGACGTGTCTAGATTCCATTTTCGGAACACGAGAAAGAAACTCCCTTTTTTAAAAAATCTCTCCTGCAAGGTTTGAGATTTGCCATCCCAGATTTTAACTTCTATTTTTTTTTTATTTCTTTTTTTTTCTTTTGTATTTTGATATTAAAAAAAACAAAACACTGAAGAACCTGGAGCTGTTGCGACTCAAGAAACACACGATCAGAACTGGTTTGTTTAGTGTTGTGGACAAGAAAAAGAAATCTGTTTTCTTTCAATTCAGTAATCGACTGTTTTGTATACTTGTTTTCAGTTATCATTTCAACAAACGAGCACTGTAATTAAAGCTATTAGAATAAAAATCTCTTAACTATTCCTCTGAGGTGTGTTTGGTGGTTTGACTTGTTCGGCCGGGCTCCGATCTGTCCCGCAGGGATGTAATACCGAGTAACGGCACTCTCGTCGGCTGATTCGCCCCACAGGTGGTAGATTATTCTAGGAGGTTTTTAAGAAAAGATTGGGCAAGCATGGTATAGGGCACCCTTTTTCTTAGGGTGCCAAAATTGGGTGCTATCGCGTGCGCATGGCCACTCAATTCTCCCCACCCACCTGCACATGTGCTTGTGACCCCCTCCCTGGTGGATGGATGTGCAACACCCCACTCCGCGCATGTGTGCATGGCCCCTCCCCAGGCTCCAGAAAGCCTGGGGAGGGTGAAAATGCTCCTCTGGTTCTCCAGAAGGGCAAAAAATTAGCTGGCTGGCACATCATGTGCGCCGGAGATGACAGCTGGCATGCCACCAAATATGACTGTGTGCCATCTTGCGGCGTTGTCGCCACACTGGTGGGCTGCTCATGTGTCCTTGCCTAATCAAAAGGAAAACACCAGANTTTTATGTTCCCCTTTTTTCCCCTTGAATTGTTCGTCGCCCTGAGTCCTCCTGGAGAAGGGCGGCATACAAATAATAAAATTCTATTCTATTCTTGTTTTGTGATGATGGAAAAAAAACCATCCAAAGCTTCAGAAATAAGGGGAAATAACCGCAAAGGGATTCCTACCTGCTTTCTAAGGGAGAACTGTGTTTTTTCCTCCATGGCGTTACCTGCAACCGTCATAAATACGAGTCAGTTGCTAAGGGTCCGGTGTTTGATCGCTTGACCTTAGAGCTCTGCATCCACTATAAGTGTGGGGAAAAACCAATCCCATTGCCATTGTAGCTTCTAGCGGCCACTAAACAAATGGTTTTAAGTCGAGGACCCTCCCAGCATTAAACACCAGGAAAGTGATGGGTGTAACGCCTAAACTCTTGATTATAGAATATAGGTAGTCCTCCCCTTACAACCATTCGTTTAGTGGCCGTTCTAAATCACAACGGCACTGAAAAAAGTGACAGCCTGTTTTTCACACTTGCGACCGTTGCGGCATTCCCATTTAGTCACGTGATTGAAATTTGGGCGCTTGGCAACTGACTCACATTTACGACAGTTGCAGAGTCCTGGGAGCCCTTTCTGTGATCTTCTGATGCCTAACAAATGTCTCACTTAGGAACATCAATTTTGGGATCAATTGTAGTCATAAGTCGAGGACTGCTTTTGGCGGGGGGCTTTTTTTTAGCAAGTGTGTAAAATAGGCCTTTCCCCCCCTCTGTGGCTGTGATGGGAGACGGGGGGGTGGGGGGGGACGCCTTTTCTAAAGCCGGTTGCTTCCCTTTCCAGGACCTGCCGAATGCCATGAATGCTGCGGAAATCACGGACAAGCTAGGACTCCATTCTCTCCGCCACAGAAACTGGTACATCCAGGCCACCTGCGCCACGAGTGGGGATGGCCTCTATGAAGGACTGGACTGGCTGTCCAATCAGCTCCGAAACCAGAAATGAAGCCCTGAGTTACTCCTCTTTTCTCCGTCCCCTCCCCCTTCCCCCTCTCCCCCCTCCTCCTCCTCCTCCTCCTC